CTTTCTTTCTTTCTTTCTTTCTTTCTTTCTTTCTTTCTTTCTTTCTTTCTTGTTCATCCCTCCCTACCCCCCTCTCTTTTTCTCTCTCTCTCTTTCTTTCTTAGCCCTTCTAGCTATAATTTTTGGAAGTAAGGAGAGCTGATAACATTACACTCGTAGGACAGGTTAGTTACTCGCTGGTGCTTCCAGGCTCAGCGATTCCAGTGAGATATCTACCACCAGACTCTTTCCTCCTCCTCTGGGAAATAGCACAGCCTAGAAATATTAGTGTAATGCTGCAAGTCTTGTGACTCCCTCCCCTTCCCTTTTCCTTAAGCTGATCTGACTTGAAAGCAACATAGGTTGCTTTGATTTGCAACATGATTTGCCTGAATGGACTGAAAAGATTATTTTATAAGCTGTCAACAAAATGTCTTTAATTTTAACAGTGTAGAAACTTTAGTTTCTGATGTGGGATTCCCCTCTGTATGCTGTGCATATCATAGGTTGATAAAGGACTGTCTTGGGCCTGCACAGGGTAGAATAGAGGTATATGGGGTAAACTAAACTGAATGCTGTGAGAAAGAGGGCAGAGTCAGGAGAAGCCATGTAGCCCCACCGGAGACAGACACTGGAACTTTACCTGGTAAGCCACAGCCTCATGGCAATACAAAGATTAATGAAGATGGGTTAATTTAAAATATGAGTTAGCCAGAAATACTCTTAAGCTATTGACCAAACAGTATTGCAAATAATATGGTTTCTGTTTAATTATTTTAGGGCTGAGCATCCAGGAGCAAACAAGCACCCTCTTACAATGTTTCTTTTAACTCTTTGAAGGTTTCCACCTTTCACTCCTCCACCACGCCCTATCCAGTCCAGTTGCTTCCTGTCTCATTCCACCCCATCCTGTCCTATCCCAATATTTTCTAGAGTCCATGTATGCCATGCCCTCCACACCCTCACACCCGCTTTCTGTCTTCATCCCGGAAAATGACTGTTACTCTCTCTGTTGTGAACCATATTGGCTCTCATTTATCTTATCTGGAAGGTTATCCACTGTCTTTGTCTTCTCTTTCTTTTATCTTACCAACTTTGTTCCTACAACCTATCTTTTCAGCCCGTCAACACTGCATCTGAACACTAATCAGAAGTAGAAGCACGGAAAGCATCTGTGATGGGAAACGTCAAAGGGGAGTTGTTGGATGAGAGGACCTGAGACGCAGCAGGTAAATCTTTTGGTTTTATTGACATGTTTCCAGCCAGGTATGACTCCAGCACAGAGACACTGATTCTGTAGCCAGTGCCTTTGTCTCAGAACTAGTTAGTCATATGTATCTTTTATTTTACATTTGTTTACTTGCATGCATGAGCACATGTGTGCATATGCATGCATGGCTCTGCGTGTGTGTGTGTGTGTGTGTGTGTGTGTATGTGTGAAAATGGATGTCAGAGGACAACTTTAGGGAACTGGTTCTCTTCATCACCATGTGGGCTCTGGAGGTGGAGCTCAGTTCATCACATTTGGCAAAGTGGTTTTACCCACCGAGCCATTTTGCCTGTCCTATAAGAAACCTTATAAGTGAGACAGTCCTCTTTATGACAATAAATACCTAGTCCAAATTCTCACATATATTAGTATTTTCAGTTCTCTGCCTCTTGTTCACTGCAACCCTGAGGCGGAGTAAGGGAACTCTGTTTCTTGTCTTAATATCAGCTACAATTCACTCCATGGGAAATCTTCTGACTCTTTATGCTCCAGACTTCTGCAAGCCATAACTATGTTCTCCCCTCCTTTCTATCTTTTTAAACTAAATGCTGGTCCCCCTCACTTCAAATTTCTGTTTTGAAGCCCTCAACCCCAGTGTGACGGTGTTTAAAGCTGGGGCTTTTGTGAAGTAATTAGGGCTAAATAGGCCTGAGGATGGGGCCCGTGTTCTGAGATTAGCGCCCAGAGCAGAGAACCCTGAGGTTCTGTCTCCTTCTTTCTGTCAAATGAGGATACAGTAAGAACATGGGTGTCTGCAAGCCCAGGAAATGTGCTCTGCCTAGGGCTCAACCACACTGGCACCCTAATTGCTCAACCTCAGAACTGAGGAGAAGAACTTTTTCTTATTTAAGATCCTCAGGTTGTGGCATTTTGTTATGTCAGCGTGAGAATCCAGATCCTTCAGTCCACACCCCGACCTCTCGTGCATATTTGCAGGGCCCTCTTCTAACCTGTGCTGATGCTGGGAACGTCTGTAATCTCCAAGTGATGGACCAGGTTCCCGTCTGCCTAGAGCACAGGACCAGTGATGGGAAATGGTCAGAAAACTGGGTCCAGACTGTGAGAAGTGGTAGTGATGCAGTGTAGTTGTAGTTGTCTTGCACCCCCAAATCAGTTACTATCTACAGACAGCTTCACGAGTTTCTTCTGCTTCTAGATCCCTGACTTCTAGAGTCAAGATTTGTTTCTGTTCTGAGGCAGGGAACAGAGTGAACCGCAGTGAGGAAGAACCAGAGACAAGGAGGTGTTCTGTTCTTCAGTCCGTGAGCCCCCTAAGATGCAAGTCATAGCCGGGCGGTGGTGGCGCACGCCTTTAATCCCAGCACTCAGGAGGCAGAGGCAGGTGCATCTCAGTGAGTTCAAGACCAACCTGTTCTACAAAGTGAGTTCTAGGATGGCCAGGACTGTTACACAGAAAAACCCTGTCTTGAACTCCTCCCCCCAAAAAGATACAAGTCATAAAAATGTGATACCCCTTAGCATCTTTCTTTGTCTCCTTCAGTGTGTCTAAGCGCTAGGCAGGTCTCTGTTCCTCCACAGGATCGGGGAGCTTGAAAACGCTCAGACTCAGCCCATACTCAGTAGGTAGTGTTTTTTGAGTCTTCACATCTCCTGGGATTTCCCTGGCATCTCCATCCATCCATCTTGAGCATTTACAAACATTTGTCTAGCGTGATTAACTTTCCCGTTGTCAACACAGCTCGCTGATGGAATGAGAGTTATCTTCTCATTTTCCAAGGAGGAAATGGAGCACACACCAGATTAAATCAGTTGCTAAGATTAGACCACAGTAACTATTATTAAAGGCAGAACCATAACAGAAAAGCCATGAATCAGTAGCTAAGAGCCCCGGATGACAAATGCATGCTCATATCACTGTTAAGGTTCTGTGGGAACAGTCCTCTCTACCGCGGCGCACACTGCTGGGCTAGAATCATATTATCCCAGTGAACTCGCAGCCACTTGCTATGGAAAACTACACCAAACATGTTTGCGACCTGAGCTTTTCTTCTCAGTTTGTAGATTTCTTTTTGGAAATTAAACATTTTGGATGACCCCTAAGTTGGCAACTTAGAACAAAGTGTTTTCCCCAAGTTTGTTGGAAGCCACCAGGTAAAGAGAGTCTGATACCCAGACTTTACATATCTAAATATATATGTTTCTACTTTAAAAAAGAGAGAAACTTCCTAAATCAGTTCAAAGCAAAGATGGAAACAAGAGTCTTATGCCAAAAACTCCAGCCACCGCAAAGTCTGTTCAACTCCCTCCACGTCAGCCCAGCGAGGTAGATGTCTGTCATCCTGGACCAAAACGCCAGGCTCCATCCTTCAATGCAATGGTTTCTCTTTCATAGGCAGAATGCTGGCACTTTCCAGAAAGCTCTGGAAAGCCAGGGTGGGGCGGTAGGGGATTTGCGAGTACTGAGAGAGGGTGTGGGACATCTCTTGAAACTGAGAAGTGGCGCTGACGTCAGGCCTTGCCTGCCTCCTCTCGAGCTGGAGCCTGCCCAGAAAACTCCCCTCTGCAGCTGTGCACACTGTAGAGGCAGGACAGCAACTTGCCCCCGGCCCCCTAGAGTTTCTTGAGGTCCACAGCTTCACTGCCATATTCAGGGGGAAATATGAGACTATTCCCCCGCTGGCTCTTTTTCAGTCCCACGAAATTGAAAGGTGGCCTGAAGCACAAACAGACTGTTCTTGGCATTTCTGCCCAGGAGTTTCTGTGTTCCTTCTGCCTCGGCCTGGGGGCTGTGAGTTGGCCATGAAAGCCTCTCTTCCTCTCTCCTAGAGGACCAACCCTGGAAAACGGCCTCTTGGGCTGTTTCTTCCACATATGCATCCACTTCTGGCTCCTCAGTGAAGCGTGGCACACTTGAAATCTGATCTGTAGGTTTCCCTGAACGGGGAAGGGAATGGAGACCGTTGATCAGATTTACCCTACTGGTTGTCCCTACTGGTCAGTCAATTGCCAGACTTCTCAAGACACCATCTGCAGGAGATCGCCGCACATACGGTAGGAGAAAGGAAGTCATGCTCCATGCTGGGGATGAGTGGCGGGTCCACACTTTTCATTTGCAGACACCGATGGGAAGAAGATAACAGATGTCTTCTAAGCCTCTATAAACTGCACTCCCAGGGCTTTTCATCAAGAATGGAACAGGGATTTGAGAGACAGCAGGTTCTAGGGTTACTTCTAACCCAAAACACCCTGAAAATCCCAGTGGTTCCTGGGGGCGTATTGTAATTATCTGTGAACATGTCTAGAAATACACGCACCATATGCCAAAGCCAAATCCTCTAATTCCACAGGAGGAAGCTACCAGGATCTTCACTGATGCCATTTTCAGCATCTTGGAACACTTCTTATGCTGCTGGTTCACGTCTGCTAGTTTTCTCAGCTGAGATATACCTCCGAACCACACTTAATGATGCAAAAAAATCACTGAGAAAATTCCTTTAAGTGTAAGTCTATATCACAAAGGTAGTGATATTTATAGGAAAGATATAAAACCAGGAAGAGTTGCCGTGTGTGTAGAAAAATCGAACAAGACGATTGTTCTGCTGTTTCCAGGAAGATTAACCTTAGCAATAATGAGTAAAACTGGCCAAGTGCTAGCAGCAGAGAGGACTCTTGCTAAGGAGCGAAAGTCAAGACTCACCATCAACACAGGGCAGGCGGGAGATGGTCCACCCAAAGGGTAAGGCTTCCCGTGAGCAAACAGGAGGCGTGCCCAAGGGAACAACACAGGGCTGTAGCAAATGCAGTACCCGGTTCTCACTAGCTGAGGTTTTCCCTCATTTGGAAGTGTTGTAGCTCTGGAGATCTTCGTTCGCGCTTGACTCCACATGAGCACTTGCTCTGTTCTAGCCCCCTGCCAGAAGCTGGAGGGACAGCCATGGCACAGCCAGAGCTCTCTGACTCAGCATGCTGTGCTGTCCCTTCCAATGAGATCTCATTTCCCACCGTCCTTCCTGCTGTAGGAAATGTACATTGTCTCCGCTTCGGTCATCAGTCCAGTTCTGTCTTCTGAAGGCTCCCGTGTGAGCCTGTTTATTCCATTCCGTATGTTCTTTCCATGGGGTTGGTGACACAGCTCTGAGAGTGACATTCTTCCCCTTGAGCCTGGAGCTATGTGACCATCGCTGTAAAATGGTGGCATGTAGCTTTTGAGGCTGGGACTACAAGAGTCAGCAGCGACAACGACATCCATGCTCTCCTTTTGTGGTAGTGATTTTTACACCCTCGCCTGTGCATCACCAGGACACCCAGTCCACATAAAAAGGTAATGTGCTGATGATCTGAAGCCAGGAGATGCCAGAGTGGGTGAAACCTGACATTATCTCAGACCCAGCCTTGAGCATCTCCTGTCGGTGGTTCCAGGCATTGTGTGACAAAGACACCAGTCATATTTTGTCTTCTCTGCATCACTGACTCAAACCCCTATGAACAACAATAATAGATGATGTATGCTTTTAAAGTCCAAAGTTCTTGATAATTTGATATGCGGTAATAGATAAATAGTAACCCCACAGGGCAGGGAGAGCAAATGCCTTCCTCAGAGGAGAGAGGTGGACAAGGTAACAGATCCTCCAGCCTATTGGAACTGTCCCGGGATAGATTTATTAGAAGAGAGATTCTATGTGTATGCACATGCATGAGATATAAATTTGAATATATTTTCAAATTAATGCATTTGTGTCCATTTGTGTAATTGAAACCAGAATCATTGTTGGAAGTAAATAGAAAAAATCCCGAATTTAGTATTAGTTCCTCTTGCTACATCACACAGTTCATTATTGTTGAGGCAATATATATCCATTTCTCAGATTTAGTTACATAGGTACTTAATTGTTTATTTGTTGCTGTTGTTGTTTGTTTGCTTGTTTGTTTGAGACAGGGCCCCACTATGTAGCCCTGGATAGCCTGGCTCTTACTATGCGTGATGGCTGGTTTTGTGTGTCAACTTGACACAATTAGAGTCATCAGAGGAAGGAGACTCTGTTGAGGAAATGCCTTGATAAGATTAGGCTATAAGGCATTTTCTCAATTAGTGACCATTGGAGGAGGGCCCAGTCCATGGTGGGAGGTACCATCCCTGAGATGGTGGTCCTGGGTTCTATAAGAAAGCAGGCTGAACAAGCCAGGGTAGCAAACCAGTAAGCAGCTCCCTTCCATGGCCTCTGCGTCAGCTCCTGCCTCTGGGATCCTGCCCTGTTTGGGTTCCTGTCCTGATTTCCTTCAGTGATGAGCAGCAGTGCTGAAATGTAAGCCAAATAAACCCCCTCCCCCAACTTGCCTTTTGGCCATGGTGTTTCATCACAGCATAGAAACCCTAACTAAGACACTGTGCAAACCCAGACTCATGGAGGTTCCCTGTTTCTGCCTTCCGAGTGTTGGTGTTTAAGTTGAGTGCCACCATGCCTGGCTAGACTTATTTTAGGAACAGATCACAATCTAGTAAGAATTAGAAAACCAAATTTTGAAAGTGTTAAGAAGAAAAGTCTTCTGTGGGGGCTGAGTTTCAGGTCCGTTAATAGGATCTGACCATAGGAGGCTAAGGTCTTCAGAACCCTTTTGGATAAGAGGTGATGATCTTCAAGAACAGCTTAGCTGTGGAGGTTGGGTGAAAGGATGCTGCTAAGGCTTGTTTCCTGGTGTAATTCTCCTTGATCCCATTCTAGCTGATACAGGTAGATAATTACTCATTATCCACAGGGCCAGCAAGTTGTCTCAGTGGGCAAAAGTGCTTGCCACTATGGGGATCTGAGTTCAATACGTGCATCAAGGCTCATCTGTGGGGAAGTATCTAGAACTCAAACGCTGGAATGCTGTACCTGAGGAACACTGGACTCAGAGGAAGAGGAAGGAGTGAAGTTCCCTGACCTCTTCCCAGCTCTGGGTGTGTGAAGGCAACAGGTCTGGAACACGCCCTGCCTGTATCAATTAGTGAGCTCGCCGGGGAAGGCAAACGCACTGGGTCTTCACCTCTTTTAGTTAAACTGCTCATCGAAGGCCGTTTGGAATCAGGCAATAGCTCACTGCACAGTTCAGCAGGACACAGCCTGCTTTACACGGCAGCGGCATTGAGTACATGGTACTGTTGTGCCCCAACCGTCGCCATTCATCTCCAGAACTCTTGTAAAACACAGGTCTTTGTAGTGGCATTTCATTCGTATCTTAATAAATAACGTTTGCCTGAAGATCAGAGAATAAAAGAGCCCCACTGGTCAGCCTTATAGACCAGGCAGTGGTAACACACACCTTTAGTCCTAATAGCCACACTAGTTAACCATGGAAGCCGGGCGGTTCACGCCTGTAATCCCAGCCCTGGAGAGGATTATACAATGGGAGGAGACAGCTCTCAGACACAGTCTAATGCTGAGATTCTTGGAGGCAGGAGCGCCATTTCAGACTGAGGTAGAGGTAAGAGCCATTGGCTGGCTGCTTTCTTTGCTTTTTGGACCTTCAGACTGAACCCCAATTTCTCTCTCTGAGTTTTTATTAGTTGTGCTTCAGGCCCTTAAATAGTAACTCCCTGGCCCCTCTCCCTGACTGTTGGCAACAACTACCTACTTATTGTTTCTATGGATTTGGTTCTTCTAGGCACCCCATATAAGCGGGGTCATACAGTACTGGTCTGGCTTGTTTCAGTTAGCGTATGCCACAGGAGTCTGCTTAACAAGGAACGAGACAGGAACAGTGTACTTCAGAAGTACTAAGTATTCATCTCTTGGGACCATCACCTCTGACGGAAATGGCTCCTGCTACCAGGAGATTTGGGTACCCCCTTTCTTAAGGCTGACACAGTGTTCTACCAAGTGAATCTGTTCTGACTGAGCGAAAGGTGCTCTTTCTCAGCTACATTGTCATTTCACCATATTTTCGAAACAACTTGCTTGCTTTTGACTAACAGACCTTTTAAGTCTTCCATACAAACTTGAAGACAAAGGCTGTTCTGTCTCTACCCACCTCCTATATGGTGCCTTATTCAACACGCTCTTTGTCTCCAATTGAACTCACTGGGTTTGTTTTTCTGTTTTTTTTTTTTTTTTAAAACAAAAGTCATTTTTTTTCGGTTTTTCGAGACAGGGTTTCTCTGTATAGCCCTGGCTGTCTTGAAAATTGTTTTGTAGACCAGGTTGGCCTCAAATTCACAGAGATCGACTGTCTTTGTCTCCTGAGTGCTGGGATTAAAGGTGTGCACCACTACCAGTGGGTTTATTCAACACAGTCTTGATGAGTGGTAAATTACGACCTTCTGGAGCTGCAGAGAAGTCCCAGCCACCTGGTGGCTCATATTGCTCCAGTTTCAAAAGAGCCAATGCCTCTTCTGGTCTCCTCAGGTACTACACACATTCTCTCTCTCCCTGCCTCCCCCAGGTAAAAAATCAATACAGATAAAAATTTTGAAATGTAAATGAACCTTATAAAAACAAAAGAATTTCAGATATTTGGAAATACATAAATTTTAACTTTAAATTTACCATAAGGAGAGAAACTTTTAAAAAGAATGAAAAACAAAAGATAATATATGCTTTTTAAGTTTATTACAGCTACCTAATAAAACCAGTTATTAAGTCTTAAATATCACTTATTGACGACTTATTATGCATTAGAAACTGTTACTATTTAGGTGTAATGGCAGTTGCTGTGTTATCATTTCTGTCAGTATGTATTCATATCTATCAAGGAATAGCTTATGCTTATAATTCAGTTAATTATGCCACAAGTGTTTTTACTAGATGACAATTTGATATTTCAGGGTAAATAGAATGGCAATAAATCATGCTATTGTCAGTTTGAATCCCAGCTAGGTGTTGGGACAGTCTTTGATCCCAGCACTTTAGAAGCAGAGACAGGTGGATCTTATAAGTTCCAGGCCAGCTTGGTTTATATAACAAATTTCATGCTAGCCAGAGGCTTGTTGTTTTTTTCTTAAAAAAAAAAACAAAAAAAAAACAAAAAAACAAAAAAACCCCAAAAAAACAAAACAAAACAAAACAAAACAAAGAAAACTTCCCCTGTCCTAAACTATATCGTAGTGAACTCTTATTCGGTGAGAAGGGCCACTCTTAAGCCATGGAACTTCCCTTCAGGGGTTTAAAAATGACATTGTATGCACTTATCCACCAAAACAAACAAACAAAAGCCCCCAAACCTTATCATTACAACTATCATTAGTTAAGATTCTCAGAAGTACCTTCAGGAACAAGTTCTCTTCTGGTAAGCCGGTCCCCCTTTGACTGCTGATCCCTCACTCCTAAGACAGGAGTAATAGTGGTATTTACCCCACTGATTTTTGCGAGGGTAATTCTATGCAAACCCCTTAGAAGGGTTCTCAGTACAGGAGAAGGCCACTGTAAACATCTGACTCTTTTCAACTTAAACTAGAGTTTCTTCAACCAAATCAGCTGCGAACAACCTTTTCTACAAGGGACAACTTACTGAGTCAAAATATTACATCATCTCTTCCCACTTCTTCGCCAAGTATTTCGCTCTTTGGATGCTGATCCCTGAAGAACTGGAACAGATCAGGTCAAATAGTCCCAAGGGCAAAGGCCCAGGGCTGGCTAGTGAGCCGGGGGAAGCTGAGTACCGTGTGTCCTTAGATGATCGTTCTCTCCTGTGTTTCCCACATCTGCAAATGCGACTTGAATCTCTCTCCTGATCATCCCCCAAGTGGTGTGCAGCAGGCGTAGGAGACTGGCTGCGAGAAGGCTCTTCTGTGTGGTGTGATTAGTGTTCACGAGGTACCATTGACCCCTCCCAGTCTATGTGTGTCACCCACAGGCCTCTCTCTTTACTCCTGACTGTAAGTAAAGGATGGGACTCTTTAAAGTGTTCTTGGGTTCAACTATAGGTGGTAAATTCCCAAGGGCTGTGCTCACGTTGCTTAATCTTCACACATAACATATTTCAAAAATGACTGCTGAAAGGTGATTAAACATCTGAGACAGAACTACTGGACACTGACATTTAATGATGCAAAGGCTTTGGAGAATTGTCCACATTATCAACTAAATTGCTTTGCCAATATTCATGGCTAAGTCTTTTTTTTCTTGATATTTTAGCATTTTAATTCAAGAGATATTTTGGAAGAAGGAACTCCTAGGTACAAAAGTGGAAGGACAAATTCAGAAAAGAGGAGGTAACTGAAGGTAAAATATGGTAACAATTTGTATGAGGGTAATAGCATGAGACTATGATCAATCATGGACAGACTAAGGAGAAATGATGATAGACCTCAGATCCTATCAGATCTGATAAAGGTATCAGATCCTGATACCTTTAAAGGGCCTATGACTGGATGGAAGATGTCAAGACTTCCTTAGACCTCAGTTTGTATTATTAGGGAGAGGGATTACCAGTCAGTCAAAAAATTGCAAAGCAGTGAAAACAAAACAAAAACCGCATAATAATGCAACTGGAAGTCGGCTAAAAGGAAACTATCTGAATAGTGGAAAAGGATCATGGCTAAGTCTTAATATGGCAAACGTGACTGCATTTGGTGAGAGAACCTTCGCAGAATGAGTAGGTTAAAGTAAGGGTGCGAGGTGGGTTTTAATCCAGTATGGGTCCTCACAAGAACAGGAACTTGGGGCAAAGATATGCAGCAGGAACGCAATGTCGGAGTCATGAGGAGGAAATGATGCTGAAGGGGCGTGCTTTGGGAACTGAGAAGGTCTTCAGGTCTTACGCTCTGATGAATGGAGCATTAAAGAGTTGATGAATCAGCAGATTATTATGAAAGTGGCTTTGTTTAACTCCACTACACCGTGTTATTCTTTGTGCTGCCTTGAGACTCTGCAGAAAACTCTGATTGATAAAGGCTCTTTGACCTTGAGTCATCAGAGTCATCAGTTTGTGGTCCCAGAACCACAAACTAAATAAAAAGTTATTGTCTATAAATTTACCAGTCTGTGGTGTCCAGTTACAGCCACTGAAAAGTATCCTAGACAGAAAATACCTGGAAATGTGGAATGGTTTGGGAACTGGGTAATGGTCATAGGATGGACGAATCTAAAGTCTAGAGAAAGCCTATTTGCTGTGAGGTGCGCTTTAAGGCTAGAAGACAGGAAGATGGAGGGATGTCTGAAATTCCATAGACATTTCTTATGTGACTGTTGAAAGGTCTTGAGTCTGGGGCTTAAGGGTATCATTGACAAGAATTGTCCCTTTGGGTAAGAAGTTTATTAGGAGAGTTATTCATGCCATGGGCATACATAAATACAGACAGCAACACGGTGCGGGCTCTTCAGGCGTAATACCCCAGATCAAGACCATGATAGGGGCTCTGATGAGAGTTCAGGCCAACAGGGCAGACTGCAGGTCTCTTCTCAGTTATCTTAGAGAAAAGGGTGAGAGTTTCATGAGTCAGATTGGCCCCACTCCCGAGCTGCAGGGAGAAGAGAGGGAATTCTCAGGGAGGAATGTGCTACTGGAAGGTTAAGCAGCGCTGGTAGCCTTCTGGTGTCCAAGGTGTCTGGCAACCTGAGAGCTAGAAACTATAGTGGTACATTATTTGTATTTTAATAAATAAATCTTCCCTGAAGACCAGAGGCAAAGCTAAAACCACTAGAGGTCAGGTAGTAGTGATACACACCTTTAATTCCAGGATTTAAGAGACAGAGGCAGATGGATCTCTATGAGTGCACAAGACCAATGCAGAAAGAAATCCAGGTGGTGGTGGCCTACACCTTTAATCCCAGGACTAGGGGGTCATGCCCTTAATTCCAGCACTAGAGGAAATATCATATGAGATGGGAGAGAGGTTGAGTCTGCTTAGTCTGCAGTTGCCCAGCCTTGGTTGAGGCAAGACTTCTCTAGTGGCTTGGCTGCCTTGCTTTTCTGGTTTTTTTGTTTGTTTGTTTGTTTTGTTTTTTTTGGGTTGAACCCTGATTTCTGTCTCTGGGTTTTTATTATCTGTGCTACAAGGAACTTCTTTAGAAAACTGAGAGTGTTGCTGACTGTTCCTTTGGGATTCGGGTACCTGAGGTGAGAGATTTCCTAGGCTTTGCTATTTCTTTATGGAAAAGGGAGACTATTCCAGGTGGATTTGTTCTAAAGAAGTCTGGCCAGGATTCTGACAGTTGTCACCAGAATGACAATAGAAACAGGGTCAGTGCAGGTCATTCTGAGAGGGTCTAATGCAGAAATGAGAAGCAAGGGCTTGAAACTCAGGAAAAGGCCAC